CGGGGTGCAGCTCCTCGGCCGTGTCGTCCCGTCCCCCCCTCCCTGCGCCTCTCATCGGCCGCTCCGGCCTGGGGGTCCGGCTGCGGGTCGGGAGAAGGCCGGGCAGCCAGGCAAGGGCCTGCCGGAGGGTCTCGCCTCCTGTCGAGCTGGAAGCCGGGGCCCGGGGAGGGGGGGGTGCCCAGCGTGCAGCTCCTACGCACGCACCCATCCCTCTGTTTTTATCTGCAAACGGGTTCTGGCGTCCTGCATGAGGGGTTTCGGTCCTGCTGCAAGTCGAGGTTAGCCTCCGAAATAGCTTGCAAGGGGCTGACCGGTGAACGCAGGTTGCAAACAGCGTTGCTAACGTCGGTGTCGTGGGTGGCAGTGTGCCCCTCGGTGTTGTGGCTGTGTCATGTCTGTCAGTAGTTTGCTGACCTGCCAGGCTCTGGAGTAGCCTAGCATAATCCATTAGTCATTTTTAAAACTTCTGCTAGTCACTTGCTAACAAACCATTTCTAAACGGAAACTCTTGTCAGGGCTGATGGCGTGTGTCAGGAAGGGCTTTGGTGGTGGGGCAGGGACCATCTTAAAGCCCCTTCAGCAAGGGTTTGAAAAAGGGAGAGCAAGGGTTTTGAACAGCTCACCTGCTCAGGGGAGAGTTCCCCAAAGCCATCGGCCCCAGCGAGCTATGCTGCATTCCTGTTTGTCTCTTGTGACATTTGCATTTTGTTCTTTGCTTTAGAACCACTGGGTTGCACAGATGCTTCTTAAATGTCCCATGGCTCATCAAGTTAGTATAGCCATGCTCGATTTGGGGTGTTTCTGTGCAGGGGGAGGGAAATTGGGGAGCCTTTAGTTAGTTTCTGCACTTCCCACAGAAACTAACTTGAAGCGGAAGTTTCTGATTTTGGCTTTGTGGTAAGCACTGGTTAAAAGAGCAGAAACAATGTTGAAGAGGGCCCCCTGCGATTAATGCAGAAAGTGATTTTTGGCCTGGAAGGAGTAGGAGTGCTGATCTGAGCAGTGTCAAATGCTCCTGTTTTGATCGGTTGGAGGTGGCGTCATCACTAAGCAGCACTATGTGTCCACACCCTTCCCAGGAATGTTGGTAGCAGGTGTAAGCAAGCCAGTCTTTTTTCATACCAGGCTCTTGCCAGCTGGCTCACTCTTCTGGTTAGCAGATTCAGGTACCTGTTCAATCCTCAGATCAGATTCCAGAGTGTGTGGGTAGGCAGGCCAAGCAGATCAATCCAGGGGATGTCCATAGCTTTGAGGGGAGATACAGGTTACGCAGCCTGTGCACTCGTGCCAGAGCTGCTTCAATTTATTCTTTTCTTATTTTGGGTTTAGCATCCATAAGGTACTGGCTCTGTTCTGGTCAGAAATGGGCTGTGTTCCATTTTACTTAGGGCAAGGGAAACTCTGTCCTCAGTGCCTTGTTCTTGCCTGTTTTACTCCACCCGTCAATACTGTACTTTCAGTTTCCTACAGCTCTACTGTTGTTCTTCTGGCCTGCGTCAACATTACAAATTGAAAGGCAGTGCACCGAGCAGAGCTCTGGCAACCTTGTTGACTGATGTTTGTTTTTTAGTGACTGTTACACTGGAGGAAGGTGTTCCTTGGACAGTCCTGGAGACAGAAGCACTGTGTTTCTAGAGCAGGTACAGTACAGACAGCAGCCAAACAAATGTCTTATTCCGTGTCAGGCCTTTACGTTCGCTTGCAGAATGTCCCTGGGAGGGGTGACTGGTTGGCACTTGGCCTTTCTCTTGCAACTGCTGACTAAGGAACCTGTGGTGTTGGGACTGTTGCAATGTGAACTTGCACCTGTGCCCTAGCAAACTGACCTGTGAAAAGCATTGCCAGAAAAGAGCAGCAGAGAAGCTGGGTCTCTGTGCCTGGGAAACCCCTTCTGAGCTGTAGAGATCATGCACAGAGAACAAGCACAGCTCCACTTGTAAGGTGAGTCAGCGTTCTTGGGGTGATTAAGAACTGTTTTGCCGGATGACTTGTATTGATGTTAGGCCTGTACATCTTTTACATCCTTCTAGTAGAGCAAGTCAGATAAGAGAAATTATTTAGCTAGTGATTGTATGGTGGAAGGGAAGGCCTGGTGACAGTGATCCCTGGTGATTTTGCTGTTTCTGTGATAGCCTGAGGACACAGGCCAGAAAAGATGTTTAACTAGTGATGGTATTTTTGGAAAAACTAGACAAGCTTTCAGATACAGAGTTTTCGCCAAAAGTGGTATAATTGATACTAAACTCCCAACAGTTGTTCTCACCTTGCACTTACAGTGGTGACCTGCTGCTTCCAATTTGGACCTGAGGAGGACTTGTGTGCCTGAAAGCTTGTCCAATTCTCAGCTCTAATCTTTCTAATAAGAGAGATTACCTCTTATATACAAAACTTGTTCAGAAATGGGGATGGAAATACCATATTCTATTCTTCTGTGTGCAACTTTCTGCGAATCCAGGAGTCAAATAGCTGTTTTTTACTATTTCTGAACCCTGCAGGTTGCCTTGGTACTGCACCCCTCCGTCCTGCTGCAATGAGTGGGAAGTCCTTGCTCTTAAAGGTCATTCTCCTTGGGGATGGTGGAGTTGGGAAAAGTTCCCTCATGAACCGGTATGTCACCAACAAGTTTGACTCACAGGCTTTCCACACAATTGGTGTGGAGTTCTTAAACCGGGACCTGGAGGTGGATGGACGTTTTGTGACCCTCCAGATTTGGGACACTGCGGGACAGGAGAGATTCAAGAGCCTGCGAACCCCCTTTTACAGGGGAGCAGACTGCTGCCTGCTGACCTTCAGTGTGGATGACCGGCAGAGCTTTGAGAACCTCAGTAACTGGCAGAAGGAGTTTGTCTATTATGCTGACGTGAAGGACCCTGAACACTTCCCATTTGTAGTCCTGGGCAACAAGATAGACAAACTTGAGAGGCAAGTGAGCACAGAGGAGGCCCAGGCCTGGTGCATGGAAAATGGTAACTATCCATACCTGGAGACTAGTGCCAAGGATGACACGAATGTGGCAGTGGCCTTTGAGGAGGCTGTGCGACAGGTGCTGGCAGTGGAGGAGCAGCTAGAGCACTGCATGCTGGGCCACACCATTGACCTGCACTCCAGCTCCAAATCAGGATCTTCCTGTTGTTAAGAGTGGCTGCTGCTTCGGGAATGTCGCTCGAGCCAGCAGCTGGATCGGAATAAGCGTGGGCAGCTCTGTGGCACTCTGAGGAGAGTGGCCATAAGGACAATAGGTGGTTTGCTCACTGGGGAGTTGCAGCCTCACCATCTGAATTCTAGCTGGAGTTTTCAGGCACAGAGCATGCATCTGCACGAGGGAGCTGTTAAAAGAGCATGTGAGCATAGTCCTGCTTCCACCTCTGCCTGTTTTAGCAGGTTTCAAGGACTGAGTTAAAGTCCTTTAAATTCACTAAAGACAGTAGTGATCTGATCTGTACCAAGAACTGCTTGTGGAACAAAGCTGAGAGCACTCTAGACACTCCTTGAAATATTTTAGTCCCGAACTAAAAAAAAAAAAATACTAGACCCACTAAACTCATGACCTTACTGCCAAAGGAAAGTCTGCTCAGCATACTGAATGAAACCTGTTGTAGAAACTAGCCCATGCACTGTGAGAATGCCAAATACTAGAGTGGCTGAGGTGTGTGTATCTGTTGTTTGGGAGAAGTGCACTGTGTCCTGAGACTGAATTGTGCTGAGAATTGTTAGAGCTCTGATCTGAAGCAACATATGAAGGAGAGATGGACCTGTGTTTGAATGTGGCAGCATCACTTCTTCATAGCTGCCTATTTCTTGACTGTTTTTCCTCACATCTAACTTTGTCTTGTGTGAGTGTTGTTTTGTGGAGAGACTGTCTGCTTCTTGTTTAATATATGTTTCCTTGTCTCTTCTGGAGGTTCAACACCGGATCTCGCTTCTCATACCTTGAAGCCCTCAATGAAAAATACCTATGTGGACACTGACCAGGTCACATCAAAGGGTTTAGAGTTACCAGGAGTTCAGGAGATCTGGACCATGAAACTTCAGCTGGTTTCTGTCACAAATAATCACCTTGTCCAGGTGATATGCTCTAGCAGACCGACGGTAGGTGGGTGGGATGTCTCCTAGGTGTGCAGGTGACTGGGGGAGTCGTATGTGGTCAGCTGTTAAATCCCCTCACTCGGTGTGTGGGGCTGGTGACCACTGTGCTTCATTAGCTGGTGGATCAGTATCTTCAGTTGCTTTAGCACGGATGTTCTCATCTGGATGCTGCAACATAGAACCATTCACTTCATTACCTGCTGTGTCAGGTGCAGTGCAGCTGAACACAGTTAACTCATGCCATTGTCCTGGCCCTTACTCCCTAATGGGGAATCCAGTATGTTTTATCTGTAATTCATATGACAGATTTTACTGGTAGAGGATGTCCACTTAGTTAATTGGCCTTTGTTTATGGCTGCAGTGTTCAGTCCACTGGGGAGAGAGCTGCAGTGGTTCCACCTCTGTTTCAACATGGCTGAAAAGTGGTAGTTGGGGGCAGGGAACCTTCTAGAAAAGGACACCAGGCGTTGTTGATCTCAGCTTCTGCCCCCTGCTAGGTTTAGTCCCAAGCTGTCTGCGTAGCAAAGAGGTGAGTGCTTGCTGACTGCAGTCTTTGCCGTTATAACCTCATGTCCTGCAACTTCCCATGCAAACGTTTGTCCAAAACTATGACTTTGCCCATAAGCACATAGGAGCCTGCCACAGGGAGAGCTTCCCTGAGTACATATCCACTAGCTGCTGAATGCAGTTCCCACTGTGATGAGCTACTAGATGGTAAATTGTGTAGCTCAAATCGAGCAGCCTCACTTGTGCTGTGCTTTAGAGCAGGGCACTCTCTGCCTTCCTGCTGGCTGGTGGCAGCTAATCCCTGTTGCCGAGCAGTCTCTGAGCATGCAAGGAGTCTCCTCTGGGGGAACTCAGGGTGATCCTGCCCTTCTCTGTGGGGCAGCCACATGTCAAAGGGACTGAAGCTTTAATGCAAAGTGCTTTAGAGGGATCCGATTTCTAAACAGGGCTGAACACTTGTATTCACAGAGATAGATAGGGAATGCTTGCAGCCTCTGGACAACCAGGTCCCTTGAGGTATAAGAGAAGGCTCTGCCTCCATAGGTGCAGCAGATTTTTACAGGATATTAAAGTTACTGTTTATTTACCAATGTCTGACCTCCCCAGGCCTCTAGATTTTTCTTCAGTTTAACACTGCTTGATATTTCCTTCAAGATCCAAGACTCTGTGACCTGTGGTTCTGATTTACATCTCTGAACAGACACGTTCTCTGGGAACTGGTTAGTGCAGGGATCCCAGGGTCGGAACAAGCTCAGGCCCTTGTGCGCTGCCCAGCCCTGCTGGAGGAACTGCTGAGGGAGCTCTCTGAAGGTGAAACTGCTGCTGCCCCAGCATGGATCTCATGGGATCTGTGTGAGGACTGGCACTTCCTGTGGGAGAGGGCAGAGACTGAACAAGCCAAGGTGTAGGAGGCATGGGTGCAGCAAGTTGTTTGCCGTACCCTGGGCATGTATTGATGCTGATAGCTGAAGCTCAAGAGCCGCATTGGGCACAGGCTGTGCAACAGTATGTATTGCCGGAGAGTGTTACGCAGCATCTTTTATTCCTAACAGACGTTGGATCATTGACTTTTTTAAAAAAAAAAAACCAAACTATTTTATTAGGCTTATGTGTTTTAAAAATACATTAAAAAAAGTATAATATATTTAAATTGCTTAATTTATTTTAAATGATACGCACAATTTCCAAAGGAGCCAGGATTTTGAACTCTTTGTTGCAAAGTTCAGTGCCAACAGCCATCCCCTCCCTGTGTCTACTCATGCTGCTGCGGTTGTTGCTATTGCTACAGAACTGGAATTGTAAAACCAAGATTCTATCTTTATTTAAGCAAATAAAACATGGGTGTATTCAAGTGAACTCAAGAAGTGGCTGCCTTCTTGGTTTATCAAAGTTCAAGATGGCTCCTGTTCTCTTGAGGGATGTGGAACTGGGCTGGTTACAGCATCTGGCAGAGAGAAGTCAAGAAGGGATCAAAGGGGTTGGTTATTCCTGAATATACCTAGCTAGGCCAGTAGTTGAAGGACTATAACTTATTTACCAGCTGAATCCAGTGACCAGTTTTGTCTTTTCAAGAATGTATCAGAAAACACTTTCATAACAGAAATATTCCACATTGCTTCCCTGTCACATTTTAATTTTCAGCCTGGGCTCTCAGCAGCAAGCCGGGTACTTTCCTTTGATTTCTTCCTGCAATCTTGGAACTGGTTCCTTGGGCTCCAGGGAGTTGTAACCAGGCATGATTTCCACAGGATGCCGAGACAAAAATCAGCATATGGGGACTGTTTTCTTTCACTGTCCTGCCAGGATTGTTGCTTATTTTGGGAGGCTTTCTCTGTGCTTACAGAGTCTGTGCCTGCTGTTTCTGTTGGCAGAACCTTTTAGTTTATTTTTCTCGCATGTCTGCTTGCCTATCTGTACTTCCAGACGCAGCGTAGGGTTTCAAGTCCCTGAAAATCCTGCTTTCTAAGTGTGGGCTGGACTATCTGGGGACCTCCAGCATCTTACTTCAGCTGTTTCAAGACACAGCTGATAATAGACAGACAGCATGACCTGGTGGGAGATGGTCCCAGGCTTGGAGGAGTCACGGGAGTTGGGTGAGGCTGTCTCATGTCAGCAAGGGTCTGTCTAAAACCATCAGAGCCACTGACTCCCCTGATGTGAGACATTTGTAAGAAAACGTGGGGCTGAGGCAGGAGCAATAGTGAGGCTGTTCCCTCATTCTCCACTTTGCCACTGCAAGCAGTAGCTCATGGGGTTTTGTCATGGGCTGGGGAGAGGATGGATCCCTGGAGGGCAAAGGAGTGTCTCCAAAGGAAAGCAGTGAGCTGCACTGCATGGAACATGCTGTAGCTTATCCCTATGTGCTTGCAAAGCAAGATGAGTGTTGGGGGGCGGGGAGGTGTCCCATCCATCCCTCTCCCACAGGCCTCTTGAGGATTTTGCTGCTCTGGGCCAGGTAGTGCAGCTGTAAGGCTGTGCAGCTGCTTGGTGGGCTGAGGAAACCAAAATCTTCTCTAGAACCACTAGCTGAGGAGCCCCAAATGGCTGCCTATGCCCTGGAGTTGCTCTCTGGGTGACTGAAGTTGCTCACCCACTGTGTGTTTCCTAGTGCAGCTCCTCCCTAGCTCAGGAGACTGGATCCTCACAGCAGTACAGCTGGAAGGAGGTTTATGGGAACACGGTCCTGGGGACTGCATGTTCTTGTATGTGTTTGAGGATGAGCAAAAAGATACAAAGAGTCTAAAAATGCCTTTTCAGGAGCCTCTGAACCCCACTCCAGGCTCCAGTTCTTAACAGGGAGTTTGTTGCAGCTCTGGCCCCGGGGGCACTGGCATGTTCTGCTCTGGAGTAAGGAACACTCCCCTCTCTGCCGAGGAGGGATGTGGTGGGAGGCAATGGCAGCTCCGACAGTGGTTGCCCAAAAGCCTCAGGTGAGTCAGAGTCCCTTGAGTGGGAGACTGGGGCCTGGGACAATCTGGGAAGTCAGTGAAACGGTGGGTTACCTGCTGAGGTGATTGCTCAGGCAAAAGCAGTCGGGGATGGACAGAGATACACCTTGACCCCAGTGCTTGCATGGCTGGTGGAGCAGCTCTTTCCTGGTGGCTTCAAGGGGTCCTTTAGGGGCTGGTGTGTGTGGGCACATGCAGATGCAGGACTCTTGTCTTCATGAGCAGCCAAGTACAGCATCTGCCTGTCTTAAATCTGTCAGTCTAGTCCTTTCCATGAGGACTTGCCACTTGCTATTCCCTTCTGTCCCCAGGCATCTCCCTAGCAGAGCCAAACCATGTGCAGAAATGGAGAGAAACCAGCTGGGTGCCTGAGAGGCAGCAGGTGAGACCTTCATCTAGGGTAGATGGGCAGCACTACCATGCCGTGGCCCTGGCAGGCAGGGCTGCTCACCAGCTACCACCCCTGCCAGGGCATCGCTGGCCGCTCGCAGCCCTTTCCCTGCCCTAACTGAAGCCAGGAGAGGGCTGGGGGAGCTCCTGGTGAGGAGCAGCGTGAGCATGCCCTGCCACGGCCGGTGTGTCTGCTGTGTGCTCTGCTGTTAGTGCAGCAGAGGGATGGAGGGCTGAGCCAGGGCAGTGGGCAGCCGTCGGGTTTGCCTCTAGCACTGTCTCGTTTCCCTGAGCCTCCCTGCTCGTCCTGCGCCGCCTTTCCCCGGGGCTGAGCCTGAGTCCTTGCTAAGAGAGCAAGGCAGGAGACTGCCTGTGTGGCTTCAGAGGAATTTGCTATGTAGTTAGAGGCTTGCCCACAGGCTTTGCATGGCAGCGTCTGGATGTTTAGGGTAGCTTTTATTTACTATTCCCTTGCTGGACTGTGCAGGACTGAGCCCAGCGTAAATGAAGGCACTGGAGGGAGTCGGTCGTTATTTTTCCCGATGCGTGGCTGGTGGGCTGGCTTTGTTTTGGAGGCTCCCAGGTCACCCTTAGCAGGAGACCTGCCTTTGCAGGGAGGGCTTCCCCGGGGAAGCACGGGCAGCGCACAGGAGGCAGGGTCCGGGGGTCGGGGGAGGGGGAAGCCGGGGCACGACGGTCGCCTTGCCTCGCCGGGCCTGGCAGCACCAGCACGGGCAGCCGCCGCTGCGGCCGGTGGCCGGGGGGAGGAGAGGGAGGACCGGGGATGCGGGAGCCGGGCCCGGCCCGGCCCGGCCGAGGGAGGCGGCCGGGAGGAGCATCGGCGTGGCGGGGCTTCGCCCGTGGAGGCCGCCTCAGCGGGGGGCTGGGGACCCGTGGCCGCGCCTACACGAAGACCCTTGGGTGCCGCCATCCCTTCCCCTCGCCTTTCCCTCCGCAGGGGAGGTTTCCGTCTTCACCGTCCCAAAGGTTCGCTGCCCAGTGTCCCTGGCTAGCAGCAGCGCAGGGCTGTCTCCCGGAGCGGCAGGGTATGGGATGAAGGGGTGGGAGTCGCCTTGCCTGGGCAGCCCATGGGACCTGCTCCAGGGTCCCTCGCCCTGGTCCAGCCTTTGTGGGAGCAAACTGCAGCCACATTTCAGCTGCTAGTTAGGGGGAAGTGTTCGATCGCACCGGCTCCCCTCCTTGGAGCTCTCATGATGGGCCAGTTTACAGCGATGCGGTTTAGTACCCGGCAGGGTTTATTCCCTGTCTTTTCTCAGCCACTTCCCGGAGGGCACAGGGTGCCCAGGGAAGGAGCTGTCAGGGCAGGTCCCATGTCCCCAGGTAGGGTGGCAGCAGGACACAGCCAAGGGCACACCCGACGAGGCTACATGTGTTCTTCAGCCCTCGAACTTGCCCAGCGTCCTGGCCACACTGGCCGCTTTCACATGCTATGTTGTGCTGCTGTCCCCAACTCTCACCCCGGCCGGGGGGCACCAGTCGCTGCCAGGGGAAAGAGATGGTGTTTTGTTCCCTGGCTCGCTCCTGTCCGGCGGCTGGTCGTGCACACACAGGGCCCTTTCAGCATGGGGAGAGGAGGGTGATGGCATCTGGGAATGCAGGGAACAAAGAGTCCCATTGATGCTGGCTGCAGCCCCATGGGTTTCTGTGAGCTGGGGCAAGGCTGGCGTGCAGGCACAGCTGTGCACTGAGCTGGGGCAGCAGCAATGCATGAGGTAAACCTCCGCTGGCTGGGCTGTATGGGAGGCCTTACTGCCTGCCCAGAGGGGGCTGAAGCCAGGGGAGAGAGGGGAGAGCGGGATTTGGGCTAGCGTCCCATTTAGGAAGAGCAGCATGGGTCCTGGCTGTGGGTAGGTAACAGCGTGCTGGCTCTCAGCCTGCCCTGCCCCTCATGGGCACCTAGCTGTGCCTGAAATCTGCCTCTTGGGCAGATCTGCTACAAACGGGAGTAGTGCTGGGGTTTGAGCATGGGGCTGAGCGCATCCCTCTGTGGCCTTGCTCCCCGGAGGCTCCTGAGCACAGTTCTTGAGGGGAATTTCCAAGAGAAGCAACATTTGAATCGATAATTTTTTAGTAGCTGCCATGAAAATGTGCATCTATGGGCAGTGTTTGGATCAAGGGCAGAAAAACACCATCCAATGGTCTCCCCACGTGCCAGCACTGTGCAAACTGTTAACAACCCTGCAGCAAATGGCATGCAGCCACCCACACAGTGTGCAGACAGGACATGTAGGGCCCTGTGATAGTTGAGTCTGCCCTCGTGCCTGAAAAAGACCATCCTATTTCACACAGGGCTCTCTGCAAGTGAGACAACGGTGCATCCTGTGTGGCTTTGGATGTGCTTGTACTACATGCATTGCCTGATGCGAGCCAGCGAGCTTTGTTTGAGCCATGCTGATTAGTTTTGCTGCGGTTGTGCTGTAGGTGCTACATTAGGAGATGTGGCAGAGGCTATCACCACATAGGCTGAGTATTAAAGGACAGTGGCACATTGCCAAACATGAGCAAGCAGCTCCTACAAGACCCCAGCTTTCCTCTGGGTGGCTGAAGGAGAAATAGAGGTTTTAAGGGCTCCCCAGCTGGGAACCAAGATTTTGAAGTCAGAGTTATGAACCTCATGGCTGGGGTGGGAAGCAGGGGTGGGCAGAGTCCTGCAGGGGCTGCTGGCCCACACATGGGGCTGGTGAGTACTGCTCC